AAAAACAATAAAACAATACCGTCCGCTCTGTGCTATACACGCTGTTACAGAGCGAGGGGGGTACTTTTTCTTCTGATGGAAACAGTTTTGGAGATTGTCTAAAAATGTTTGTTTCGTAAAACTTATTATTGTTTTGGAAACAAAATGGAAAATCTAAACCCATTGTCCCCGAAAATTATGATTAATGTAAAATTCCAGGGTAAGTGTTGCATGGATACTCACGGGAGTGCGCCCTGTTCCATCAAAACGGCCAGCAATGCCTCGGTGTCAGAGACGTTGAAAGCGAAGGGGCTCGAGATGGGGCTGCCCGGGCCGGCAGCGGCGTCGGCCTGGAGCCCGGCCGACACGACGAGCAGGGCCAGGAGCAGCATGGCGACGGCGTCCTGCCTCCAGTGCAACGCGCTCACGTGTGTCGCGGGGAGCGCGCTACCGCCGCGGCCGCCGCCTCGCGTGGGCTGCACGTGCGAGCCGCTGCAGCTAATTGCATATTGCAGCTGTGAGGTAGGAAGCGGGACATAGGGAGAGGGAGACACAGAGAGAGACAGAGAGGGAGAGAGAGAGACAGAGAGGGGGAGAGAGAGAGAGAGAGAGAGAGAGAGAGAGAGAGAGAGAGAGAGAGAGAGATAAGGAGGAGGGAGAGAGAGAGGGAGGGAGAGGGAGAGAGATGGTACTCTGCTCCCCTTTGCCTCCTCCTTAATTAATAGCCTATTCCACTGCCTCTCCTCGCCGGGCCGCGGAGGCGCGTGGCGCCGCGCTGCGTGTCCGATACAGGCCGCCTCGTCACCGACCTCGACAACTCTCGCCGTGCGTGAGGTAGGCGAGTCTGAAGCAGTCAGGCATTCGGTCGAGGTTTATGACTTTCCTTTGTGCCCGCAGCTGCAGGTTCCTCATTGCGTCGCACGCTTTTCTCCGCTTTTCCCGCTTGTTGGCACAAATAACAGCATTTGTTTTTGTACAAGTATTGCCGTTAGCATTGCAGAGGATGGGCCCTCTTGTAGCCCTCTGTCGCTAAAATAATGCAGGTGACGTCAGGTGACGTAAAACAGTATGTCACGTCATTCGTTTCAAGGTGAAGGAGCCTGAGGTATGGCGTGAATTTAATCTCGGCGTGTGCGCCAATGTCGCCATACTTCATTTGATTTAGTTCCAAGTGGTCCTCTCAATGAGAGCCCCGAGCTGATAGTGAGTCACGTACGAGTCTCAAGATGCGCTCCGGTAATGTCTGATCCAATAGCGTATCTAGTGCTGATGTCTCAAGTGGACCTCTTTCGCCAAGAGATCGCACGCCGGGGGCCACCGAGAGTTCATCGAGTTCGGTCAACAAAGATTCTAGGAAAAGCGAGCACGGACCAGCGTCCGGCCCGTGATCGTGAGAAAATTGAATTGATTAGAATCGCGCTGAGTGACACCAGCCACCATCATCTATATACTGTAATTTCAAAGGCGTACTGGGAGAGGGCGACAAAGGTGTATGCTACAGAAAACAGTGCAACTTAAGTCGCACTCTGAGCATACACCTTTGTCGTACTGCCACCATCATTGTATGCATAATATGCTGGACAACCCCCAAGCCCCCTCGCTGAGCGAGTGCTTGGCCTGCATACACCTTGGGAGCGCACTTCATGGGCCTGGAGCCCACGGCTCACAGCTCCCTCAAATCGTGTACTATTTTACCCAGCACAAGGTGTATGGAGGCCAAACACCTGCCCGGGGGCTTGCAGGGGCCCAGGGGCTTGGGCTGTCCGGCATATTATGCATACAAAAGGTGCATGTTGGCAGTACGACAAAGGTGCATGCCCAAAGAGTGCGACTTAAGTTGCACCGTTTTCTGGAGCATACACCTTTGTCGTCCTCTCTCGGTATGCCTTTGAATTTACAGTGTACATGACCTGATGCACCTGATGGGTGAGCTGTGAGTCATGCTAGATCCCCACTCGAAGTGTCTTTTATGATGGAATAAAAAACACACATGCAAATACAGAGCGTAGATGAGACACGACGCGTCCCGTCATAGATAAATTTATCTGTGTCCTGTCGCCCCCCCCCCCCCCCCCCCCCCGGTCGGATGTACTTGGATTGTGATCTTTTTATCGTGATGCTGTAGACAAAGATTAGTTCATGGTGCTCGATAGTCGGAATAGGCATCTTATCTGCTGGCCGTACGGTTCCCAGCTGTGCGCGTTTCGAGAAGAAGTACTGAAGTCAAGACCGGAACCAACTCATTCCCGTGTTGTTGTTTTTTAATTTTACATATTGACGGAAATGCACTGGTAAAACAAAGGTGTAAAATCACACCTTTCAAAGGCATTAAAGTTCTAAAGGCGTGAACGTTTTAGTTTTTTCGAAATATTTTCTGCTGAAGCAAACCAAGGTTTGTAGGACTAATATTTTCGCATTTAGCTCAAAATTCCGCTTCGAACGAGCCTACATGTGATATGTGTCTGAAGAAACGGTGAAAGTAGTAACTGACCCTCAGCAATCTACTAAATTTCTTTCATTTGCGATTTGAACCCTATCACATGTCGCTATACATGTCGCTCGCCTGCAGGTGAGTGATAAAAATCAACCACCTGCAGGTGAGCGACAGAATTTTCACACACCTGGTTTGAATGGCCATTCTCACACTTTAGGACGGGTTAGTGGCAACTTTTTTAAGTGTATGAATCTCTTTTCGTTCACCTGCGAGGGTGTGAGTATTTTGTCGCGCACGTTCGGTGTGTGAATCTTTCGACTCACCTGCAGGGGGGCGATTTTCGTACACTTTTATTTCCAGAGTGGCCAGGTTCACACCCAGAGCCCCTGTCCCAAGGGATGTGTGCCGAATGGCCAAGTAACAAGCGTACATCGGAGATATTCAGAAATTAACGCACAACATGGGCGTATACAGAAGATGGCGCACGCGTGTATTCGGTTTCGCAGAGTAGGCACTTGCACCCGGCTAGAGCTGCGTCACTGCTCTGACACGGCACACTGCTCGCCCCGGCCCGTAGAATGCACCTGAGAAACGTTTGACGGGGACGCGGATCAGGCTTGCCTCTCCCCCACCCCTTCTCCCCGCACTAACGCGCGTAACGCGCGCGCGCGCGCTGGTTGTTTGGCGGGGCAGGGGCAGAGTAGGCAGTCCCGCTAGGCGAGCGTGCCCGGCGGGCTTGCCTACCCGGGGTCCCGCAGGCGCTCCCGGGGCGTCCATGTGGACACGGACTCCAGAGGGCCCCGACGCGGTACTCGCGGCCCTCGCGACCCTCGTCGACGCTCGCTCGCGACAACCTCCAAGACCACGGCCGCGCGTAGCAGGCGCCGCTGCCGAGGCCGCCGCCGGGCGAACCACATCACCCGGTGCAAGGTGCGAAGGTGTCAGCCACTCGGTCCTCATGTGCATTGATGAGGGGCTGCGACAGCTGATGCGACATGTTCCTGCTGGCTCATTATTGCCAGAGAGTGCGTCGCGCCGAGCGTCGAGTGAACTCTCCCAGTGAGAAATGCAATATCGATAAACGAGGGATTGTCATCGATCGAGGCAAAGTTGTATCGAATTTTCGGATTCGACGTCGAATAAATAATTGTCGTCGATATTTAAAACTATCCTCTATTACGCAATGACCTCTCCGGATATTATTCGGATGAAGGGTCGTGTATTGAGTAACACATACACGCTCCATCCGAATGACCTCCGGAGAGGTCATTGAGTAAAATTCGTGGTTGAATGGGAACATTTGTTTATGAATTTTCTTCAATGCCGAATTGACGTTCCGTCGACGTTTCGTTTCTTACTGGGACTTATTGCTACGGCGGATGACCTTGATATCAGATTCCTGGACTCTACCCGAACCTCGAGCGAGGGAGAGTGTTACGGGGTCGTGCTAGGAGTGTGCCACGGGGGAAAAAATGGTGTGCTGTGTCCTCCAGGAAGGGGGAATGCCACAGGGGGTGGGGTGCGGTAGGGTGGGGGCAGCGGAAGCGTAGCCAGCGGCCATCATTTATTCTTTCTAAGGTTTCTATTCGTTGATTTTTTTTGTATCATGATTGATGTGCACAAAAGGAACGTGCTATTCACGTTGTAATTTTTGAAGGAGGCTGCTTGCTGGGGGAACAAATAAATTAAACGACTCATCCCGGCATTTCAGATGCAGTTACTATGTTTACACCGCGGAGGCTAGCCCGTGCTATGTCGGTGGTGGGGGAAGTTGGCCCCGGCGTAAACGGCGCG